GTTACGTTCCAGGGAAATTTTTTTCACCAGACAAAGAACTATATATATATATATATATACACACACACACACACATCTTATCACACACGGTATAAGTTTTAAACAAACAATTTCATACTGTACACAGCAGTGATGATTGTGAAGCTTGGTTGAGGTGGTGAAGTCAGAGGGTGTGATATTTCCCTGGGAATGCCTTACTACTAAACGATGAATTAGAACAGCTGAGCCCTCAAGGGTTAACACATTGTTGTTAATGTAGCCTCACATTCTACAAGGCAGCACAAATGGAGGGAGGGAAGACAGCATTGCAGACCGACAGAGACACACACCATGTGTGTGTGTGTGTGTGAGCGAGAGAGAGAGAGAGAGATGTGCATTGCCCCTTTAAGCACACTGACACCACTCTAACTACATTGCCTTTTTAAGTATATCAGCAAGTTGAGACAGCAGCTGCTGCTAGCAAGCTCCCTCCGTTCTGAGCCCTGTCATGTCCCCCTTCCTGCTCTATGGAGATGGAGTAAGCGGGGGGGGCAGAAGCAAGGAGGAGGAGGACACCCTGACATTAGCTCCCAGAAGCAGGTCAAGGCAGAGGATAGGAGCAGCACATGGCAGTGGAGGGAGGGACAGCTGAACTGCTGGCAATTGATAGCCTGCTGGACGGCTGTCGCACAGGGAACTTAGGGGAGCCGGGAGGTGATGGGGGGCTGCCAGTCCATTCTGGTTCCAAGCCCCCACCAGTTCACTCCAACGGGCTGCTCTTTCTGCAAGCAGTGGACAAAGAAGGCGGCTGCCAAACAACGTTAGAAGGGAGCATTGGGCAACTTTAAACGAGCATGTTCTCTAATTGATCAGCAACGTAACAACGTTAACCGGGATGACTTTAAGTGAGGAGTTACTGTATTTGGTAATTTGTTCTTGTATTCTTATAGACTTCAAAAAAACTCAGTTCAACCCAACCAGATACAGTAATCTTGCAATGACATAAGCCTGTATACAAAGAGTGTGCAGGTGGGTAGAGAAAGATGTTGGTTTCATGAAGACTCGTTACCTAGGCCCCACACTTCAATACCCAAATAGTTTGAATATACACCTCTACCTCGATATAACGCTGTCCTCAGGAGCCAAAAAATCTTACTGCATTATAGGTGAAATCACGTTATACTGAACTTGCTTTGATCCACCAGAGTGCGCACCAGCCCCCCCGGAGCGCTGCTTTACCGCGTTATATCCAAATTTGTGTTATATCGGGTCACGTTATATTGAGGTAGAGGTGTATCAAATGTAATTAACCATTTCTATGTGCATTATATGCCCATATGTATATATTTCCTTTTCCTAAAACCCACTGCCCTTAGTTAAAATCAACAGGAAAAGAGCAGAGATATTTCATACATATAACCTCTTACCGCTAAAGTAGTTGTGTCGGGGGGCTGGTTTGGCTTTCTTTTTTTTTTTGTCAACAGTAAGGTCTCATCTACAGGAAAATGTTGCACCCGTTTAACTTAAATTGGTATTTAAACCAAGATAGTTAAACTGACACAATCGCCTGTGTAGACTCTTATTTTGGTTTAAGACTGGCTGATTGCAGTTTAGTTTAAACAAATTCCTTACAGATTTAAGTAAAATCAAATAAGCCTAGTTTAAACTGAAATAAGAGCATCAACATTGCCTTTTATTCTCATTTAACTCCGTTTATTTAAAATCCCATCTTAAATTAAACTGGTGCAACTTCTCATGTAGACAAGGTTTTATTCCAGTTTAAACATGTTTTATTTTGGTTTTAAGCCAATTGAAACAGGTTTAAGCTAAACTCAAATAAGCCACTCAAACCGAAATAAGAGTGGCCTTGTCTTCACTAAGGAAAAAAAGGTGTATTTTTAGTACATTAGTTAATATATGTTAAAATCCCAGTGTAGACAAGGTAATTGTAGTTTTAACTTGTTAGCTGGTAGAGGTAAACCCTAGGCTCCCCTGTAGGGAAATGTTAGCTAACATGTTAAAAGTACACCCTTTTTCCTAGCCCCAGTCTATGCTTAAAACTTATGTCGGCGTAGCTACAGTGTTCAGGGACTGTGGAAAATCCA